AACAGCAAAAATTAATGAGGGATGAAAATGATTGTGACTATTGTCTATATGTAACAGTCATGTAATCATAGGTGATGATCATGAAAATGAATCCGATATACGATAAACAATACAGTGGAGATGAAGAACTGATAATGAAGAAGATGAAACTGATGATGAAGATGATGACGAAAATGAAGATGATGAAGAAGATGATGATGAAAATGATGATGAAGATGATGAAGGAGTAATTGATGGAGATGATGATGATAATGACCCGGATCAATGGCAAAGTATTTTCATCAAAACATTCCTCAATGACACGAGTAGCACGATCACTATTAATGTAGAAATATCGATGACGATGATAACAATGCCAATGAAATCTCTAAAAATATCATCATTACAAAAATGATATCTTTAGAAATATCATCATTTTAAAATGGTTCATATTTTGGTCTTTAAAAAATGATATCTTTAGAAATATCATCATTTTAAAATGGTTCACATTTTGGTCTTTACAAAAATGATATCTTCAGAATGTCTTTATATCTTTTGTCTTCTCAATTTACCACGCTAATGTAAATAATAATGATTATAAAGCTGAAAATGACCTTATAAAAATGATTAAAAGATGATAACGATGATGACGATGATGGCAAAAAGAAGATCATGATAATGATATTCCATGTGTTGAATGTTGATGGCGGCTCTAATGATCGGATTGTTCATTCACTTGTACCGCGTCACTACATCAAATCAGTAACATTAAACATGCACTGACCGGCTGAATGGCTGACCGGCTGAATGGCTGACCGGCTGAATGGCTGACTACTTCTTATTCTACCATTCCATGAATCTGCTTCAAAGTGTACATGTGTAAAGATTTGAGTTTGTCTTATTGTGTTTGTTTGTTTTGTTGGTCTGTACTGTTCCTTTTTTTATTCAATTTGTTGGATTTTTTGTCTAATTTTGTCCTAGTTTAAGACAATTTATATAAGCGTTTAGTAAAAAATGTACATTGGTAGGTTTAGGTGGACCCGTCTTCTCTTTCGCACTTAAACCAAGAAAACTTTGTGGTGAAACTTGGTACTCCTGATGCTTTCGCGTGAATTATACACTTCGTTAGTTAATTTTCGGACATTACAATTAAAATTGAAAGACATGATGTTAAATGTTGAAACAGCCATTACAACCTTGAAACTAAACTAAATACTGCTTAGCAACTTTGTTGAGTTGATAAAATATATTATGGTTCAATTTGGGTAAAAGTGAGCTTAAATAAATTTTATTACCGTCAATTTTAATTACTCGCTTAAAATGTTAATTTTCGGTAATATTTAATGAGATTCTTCCAGCCAAACTAATTATGGTTCTTCCGCCTCGACTGTTAGTTGAGAAGTAGCTATGAAGTTTAAATTGGTCAGGAGTGTGAGTATCAGACGCCATGAAATCACGAACACCATCGCGTGTGACGTGGCAATTTCACTAAATATGATAATTTTTATCCTATTATTTCAACTACAAAACTGCATAATATTGAAAGTCGTAATTTTAAGAAATCCCATGCTTCACATTTATGCTTTATTCAATTGTATATCTTATGTTAGATTCGCCAATAAATTTTCTCTTTACAATATTCATAATTTTATTCAGCTGAACCTTGGCAGCTCGTCAAAAAGCCGGTAGTAATTATATACTGCATTGTATATAGCGTGAGAAATCTGTGACGGATTTACACACAAAAACATCGCTTCAAGTACAAAATTGGTCAACAATTTAAAATATTGAAAACCAAAAAGATTTTATTTAAATATTCATATATTTACGATGAATGAACACAATTTTTGTGATCGTCTAATGAACGACGAAATTGTCTAAATATTTTCATTTCACTGACAATAATAAAACAATTATTTGTTATATTTAATCCTCAAAATTTTATTAAAAAACAAAATTTTTACTTTATATGTTTATAAATACTTTCAACTAAAATAAAAATATTCTTACTTTCAACTAAAATAAAAATATTCTAATTGATAAGAAAAAATTATAACATAAACTCATTAGCCGCTCGGGAACATCTTTAAATTTTTTCAGAAAGAAATGTAATTGAAGACAGTTCAAATTATTCGAGTTTTCAGTTGACAAGTTCGTAAGTCTTGTTTGCTATAATTTTGATCCAGGCAATTTCTAATGAAAGAATGGGACTCTGAGTCAGAAAAATATATAACCGAGTATCGGATTATTTATAGATCGTTTGTTATTTCTCTTCTTTTGATTAGACAGAGAATAGATTGAATAGGCTAAATCGTCTGCAAAATAAAAGGTTATAGTGGAAAACTATTTAAATCAAGCACATATTATAGTTAAAAGTAGAAAATTCAGTTTTTACGTTTACAAATAAAAATTGGATTTTTATTACTGTGTTGAGATAACTTTTTCAAAGATTCCTGTTGAAATCCAATTAGTTGAATTATATAAAAATTAATTCGTTAGAGTGGCAAATGCTGTTTTATATGAATAAATTGAAAACAATCATTTGTTAAAATCAAATATTAAAAAAATTAAATATTGAAATGATATTAAAACATGAAACAAAATTTCATTTTGTAGCACGAATGAATTGAAATTATCAGTTCGCTAAAATTAAATATATTTCAGTTTCTAGACACAAGCCGAGCTTCAAAATGAGATGGTGATGTAGTCACACCGACAGTTTCTTCCACGATTATTTCCGTCTCACCTTCGACCGGGAGCATTTTGAATTTCTGCAGAAGAGCCGTCGTAAAAAGGAAGAGTTCTTGTTTGGCAAGTATCTCTCCGAGGCATGATCGTTTACCTGTGTTCAATGTTCAACTACTTAAAGACTGTTACCCAAAAATGAATCAATTAAGTGACATTTACCTAAAGAAAATGGGATAATTAAATCTCTGTTGATAACTTGAGTTTGGTCTTCATTTAGAAATCTTTCAATTTTAAACTTTTCAGGTTCGTCCCAATCGTCCGAGTTCATGTGAGCACTATAAATGTTAGGCATAACCTACACAGATGAATAATTAATTTATCAAATTGTTATTCTTAGCAAACAAATAACTGATCTACTGACCATAACATTACTGGGTATCAACACTCCATCAATAATTGTTTCCTTAGTGGTCAGGTGAGGGAGAGCCAAGGGCACCAGTGTTTTGAATCTCATCACTTCCAGGATAGTTGCTTCAGTGATTGGCAAGTTTGTCTTATCTTCAAGACATGGAAATCTTTTCAAACCAACTACTCTGTCCAACTCTTCCTGGACTTTCTGCTGAACGTCTGGATTGTTAGCCATTAAAATGATCAACCACGAAAGAGTTGTAGCAGTTGTTTCGGTGCCAGCAATGAATAGATCTCTTATTGTGTTTGTAAATTGATCTTTGTCAAACAAATCTTTTTGTGAATCTTTAAATTCGTCTAAATACAAAATGCAAAAGTTTTCATTGTTTTTATCAGCCAAAACTCGATTGACTACATTTTCGATGTAGCGTTTCCATCTTCCAGATAAAACAACCAAGTGTTGTAAGAAGCTTCTGTTGGATGGAAGGTATTGAACAATCGGAAAAAAATTTATAATTACTGATTTGGTTGTATTAGAAACCATGGAATGAATAATTTCTAATCCCTCGTGGAACTCTGGATCATCTTTGGACCAACCTTTGCCGAATATGATGCTGCATATCACATTTGAAACAGCTGCAGTAATTTCAAAAACTGGATTGAAGGCTTTTCCATTTTTATTTTTAATCCTTTCAATAAAATCGTCCACCTCTATTTTGATCCTTGACTCCATAACGCCCTGTCCAAAGCCGAAATGTTTCAAAATGTTGAGAGATATACGATGATGCATTTTGAAGTGATCATCATACGGATGTTCAACAATTCCTGAACAAAATTGAAGTAATTCAATGTTAGAAAAAAACTTTTGTAACTATAACTGAAAAACTATACAGACCTGTCAGTTTAGTATTAAATTTCAAACTCAAATAAAAGGACGGTCGACTTGAAAAACTGAGTGAATGTTTCACAAGAGCTTCGTATATTGTTTTCCTACTATTCAAAACAACCACATACCTGTTTGGATGTAATTAAATATAGTTGACATTTTATTATAAACGATGCAATTGAAATAATATAAAAATTCAATAATCAAATTTAAATTTTATTACAATATTCATTTCACCTGTTGCACATATAGAATGCAAATATATTTCCCAGAGTTTTAGTTTTATTCATGAGGAAGTGGGGCAACTCGTTCATGTTTTTGTAGGGTATGGAGAAGAGTGAACCAACAATGGGATATGAGGTGAGACATGGAGGTAGTCTGTGCTTACTCTGAACACTATTCGAAGGTTTTCGATTTCGATAAATATTTAATAATAAAAAAGCTAGTATAAAGCTAATTACGTAAATAAAAATTGTTGAAATTAAAAACGCCATATCAAATAAGGGAATATTTAAAAACAACAGATCATTAGTAACGATATAGTAACAACGTTTACAAGCATAAACTTTTTGAGTTTTGATATGTAATGCGATTGAAAGAATGTTTGTAAATAAGAAACAAGTTTGTATGTTCCCATATAGCGAACCCGTAGCATATAACTTTTACATAATAAGCATGCACGCTCACCATTGCAAACACACAGTGTGGCTTACAGTCTGTTATTGTTGTTCAAATCTGCTGATCGTGGTTTACAATGGGAATTTTATTATAAACGTTGTTGCATACTTTGTGAACGCTACATGTGAATTAATTCATCACTTCTAATTCATCTCATAAGTAAAAACTGAATTTGGTTAAAGCATAGACTCCTAAATAATAGATACTAGACGAGAAACTGAAATTTACACATGCCCAGACCATGGTTAAAGTAACATTTTAAAGGTATTTGACATATTTTAAGTGTGTCTCCTTTCGCTCTCTCTTTTTCTCTCTTTTTCTCTCTCTCTCTTTCTGTTTATATACAGCTAAGCGAAAACTCTAAATTATAAATACGAACATTATATATATATATGTATATATATATATATATATATATATATACGATTAAGACTATCAGAAATGCAATTATTGATAAAAATCACAGCATGTCCGGCGTTAGTTAACTTCCAATTTAACTTTTCGATTTTTCTAACAGTTGATTGAAAATCATTTTTAAGTTTCTTCAGTTCAAAAGAAAATTTTTTATTTATTTTATGCATGAATACGAAAAAGAATCTAAGATCAACCGTTAGAAAAATCGAAAAATTTAATAGGAAGTTATCAAACGCCGAACATTGCTGTGATTTTCCTCAATATATATATATATATATATATATACATATATATATATATGTATATATATATATAATATATATATATATATATATATATATATATATTATATATATATACCACACTAGATATATATATTTACATATATATATATATATATATATATATATATATATATATATATATAATATATAATATAATATATATCTACTATACTAGTGCACGTAATATGTATGGATTTGCTACTATGCGTGTGTAGTAAGAATGCTTTTTTTCATTTCTCTGCGGTGTTTTCGGTGTACCCAACTAACTAATGATAAAAGTAAACTTTTTTTCAAAAAATAACCTACATGAAGTGTTACATTTTTTGGTCGTTAATCCAATTTTTTTGAAAAAATAAAAATCCCGTTTTTCAGATTCTTTTCAGATTTTGAAATTCAGAGCACATGTTTGTAGGGCTGATTTCCTCTCCTCGGCTGAAAATTTCTATTTAACACCACAAATTATTTTCAATTTTCATTATAATTTTTTAATTTCATTTCAAAATTTGATTAATTTTTTCAATGGATGAAATCTACTAAACAATGAAAATATAAAAAATCGTTTACTTGATTTTCAACAAGATTTTCCAATAAATTTCATATTTTTTGTTTATTTCGAAAAGCCGCATTTCAAAACCGTAAATAAAATGACAGTTAGTTCAGGAATCATGACTCTAGCAGCAGCACAACGACTGATTGAAAGTAAATTTTACATAAAATTAAAGAGCCACTAGATGGTAAGCATTTCCACCAACCGTCCTACCAAACCATGGAATGAATTTAGAAGGCTGTAGTAGTGGTCTTACCACAAATAGGTTCATAAAGAAATTCAAATTATCTAATTACACCCCCACGTGCAATGGAACAGTGACTGACCAAAAACAGTGACTGACCAAAATTTTCCTAAATTTCTCTTGTTTACAGTTTTATTATGTTGTTACCCCAAATTTCTCTATTAAAATTATATAGTCTCATAGCAGTTGGAGTTTGAAATTTTTTGCGTTTTTTTGTTGACTTTTTGATTGTCTTTTATAGTATGTAAGTTTAATTATGAAAAATTTCATAACACTTCTATAAACTGAAAATGGAAAATCGTGTATAATTGAAATGAGCATATTGTGAAATGAAAAAAAATAATGCTAAATATTTAAATTTTGTATTGTTTTAACAAATCGCAAAACTTAAATCATGTATTAAAATAAGTAGGGGCTGAACTGTAGTAATTTTGTTAGAATGTTTATCAAGGAGCTTTTGTGTCATTGTAGTAAAGCTTAAATTAAATGATTACAGATTACCATAAAGATATTCCGCTAATATAATTCTATGATCTAAATTTTGAAAATTCCATATTTTTCGTGTTTTGAAAACAATGTTTTTTTGACGAATTTTTTGCAGCCAAACCCGCACAACTGAAACATAATTTGAAACTTTTAAATTACAATATATAACTAGAAAACTATTTTCGTCATTTATAGTAAATGAATAGTTTTATCAATGATTTTTTTATGGTTTCAGCGCATCTAAAATGCACTGAAACATAAAATTAAAAAATGGGTTCAAAATTCCAGAAGTATTTTAGTGTTTTTGATCTCAAGCAGATTGATTGTCCATCAAAAATAATTATTATACGGCTTGCATTATATAATCTCTCGTTTATTTTCTGCAAACCAGTCTTGCTTCAAACGAAGATGGAGACGTGGTGACACTTTGAATTTCTTTAACGTTTATTTTTTCTTCGCCTTCTACGGGCAAAATATGAAAGTTTTGCAGAAGCGATGTAGTAAACAGAAAAATTTCTTGCCTGGCTAAAATTTCACCCAAACAAGCTCTTTTTCCTGTGTTAAAAAACAAAATATGTTATTAGACCATTGAAAATTACATAATCCTTTTTAGATATTGAGAGAAAATGAAATGTCAGACCTAACGAAAATGAAATGACTGAATCCCTTCTGATAACTTGGGTTTGATCCGGATTCAGAAATCTTTCAATTTTAAACAACTCCGGTTTATCCCATTCATCCGAGTTCATGTGGGCACTATAGATGTTTGGCATAACCTTCATAAAATGTGAAAATTTATTTGAATCAGTTATATTTGGTTAAAATTTTTAATTTTATACCATAACATCACTTGGAATCGAAATTCCATCAATTATCGTTTCTTTAGTTGTTAAATGAGATAAAGACATTGGCACTAATGTTTTGAACCTCATAACTTCTAATATAGTTGCCTCAGTTATTGGCAAGTTTGGTTTATTTTCAATTGATGGCTGATGATTACCAACTACTTTATCTAGTTCGTCTTGAACTTTTTTTTGAACATCTTGATTGTTGGCCATAATAATGATGAGCCATAAAAGTGTGGTAGCTGTAGTTTCCGTTCCAGCCATGAAAAGATCTCGAATGGTGTTTTTGAATTGGTCTTTGTCAATAACGTTTTCTCTACATTTATTGAATTCACTTAAATACATGCTACAAAAACTTTCAGTATCATTTGTCACGGCTTCATTAATTACATTTTCTAAATACTTATCCCATTTGTCAAATGTGTCAAGAAGTTGGTTTAAACTTTTTTTATAGGAAGGTAGAAATCGAATGATTGGAAAAAAATTTATCAACATTGAATCGATACTACTTAATAGTATTGAATTTATCAACTCAAGTCCTTTTTGAAATTTAGGATCTTCTTTTGACCATCTCTTTCCAAATATTATGCTGCAAATTACATTTGAGACGGCAGCTGTAATTTCGAATAGAGGATTGAAAGCTTCACCGTTTTTGATTTTCACTCTTTTTATGAGATCTTCAACTTCTACTTTGATTCTGGCTTCCATGACTCCTCTACCAAATCCAAAATGTTTCAAAATATTGAGGCATATGCGATGATGTATCTTGAAGTGCTTGTCATACGGATGTTCGATTATTCCTTTTATTTATAAACAATTTATCATCATACAAAATATTTTAACAATAAAAATATTGTTTCATTCTAACCCGTTAGTTTCTTGTTTATGTATTTATGTAGATAAAATTTTGGACGACTTGAGAAACTTATTGAATGTTTAACCAATGCCTCGTGTAAAACTTTCCTTCCATTCAAAACAACCACGTACCTGGAATGTTTTTCAAAGGTTCAAGACTGGTAGTATAGTGCAATAAGGAAGATATCATCTAACCTGTTGCCCATATAGAATGCAAAAACGTTTCCAAGTGACTTTGACTTTTCCATGAGAAATTTCGCTAACGAAACTGTCTTCCCACTTGGGATAAATAACAGAGATCCCACAACCGGTAGTGACGTCATACATGGTGGCAGTTTGACGTCTGCATCAACGCTCGACGAATTATAATTTCGATACAACCTTAATGCAAAATAAGCTATCACGAAACTAGCTACATAAACGAAGATGGTTAATAAAATTGCCGCCATATTTCAGTCAGTTCATTAAATGGTGAATTTTCATTCAACGTTAAAAGCTGTAGAGGTAGAGTTTTAATGTTCATGACAGACTTAATCTGAATAGCTTTCTGCCAAATAAGCATTACCAGGCGTTTTATTGCTATAGCTATTTGTTGAAAGACGTAGAGTTATAAATATATTACACTTTACAATAATGACATCAGTTTATTATCGTTGCAATTTTTATATAATAGCAGGCATATTTTATATTGTTAAACGTTTTACTCTAATTATATAAATTGTATCCAATACTTGCATCACAACAGTAACTTCAATTTGCTGCAAATGATTACGCTGAGATCTCTTGAAATTAATTTTGAAGTGAACCAGTTTTTAAAAAACCAGCTTGAAAATAGTAAACAAGTTTTCAAGCAGTTCACTTATAATAATTTATTCATAACTTTTGCCAGTCATAGCATTTACAAGCCTCTCTTCTCTTTACATTGATTATGTTTCAAGTAGCCAGAAAAGTTGATCGAAGTTTTTTGGTTGACTAGACAAAATGTCAAGTCAACAAAAGAGTTATAATTTTTTGACAACGCACGCAGGTGTCCGTCTGTTCAATTCTTCATTCATTGAATTCGTTTAATTTTATTAATTTTTATGTAATCACAAATTTTCTCAATTAACTTACTAAAAACCAAATGCTCATTTGAATAATGGGGTAGATAAATTTGTATGTATCTAATTTCCTATTATTTCTCCTTTCGTTTAGTCCATGTATGAGTTCATCAATTTTCTCAGTACATTCACAACTACACACCACCAAACACACACAAACAGACATCCGTCTGTAACGTCCAAACTCTATTTTTATGAACCAAATCATTAATATGATATGTAATGAAACAGATGAGACCAAATACGATTTTTGAAAATTTCATCATTTTAGTTAGTAGTGATACGAAACAGTGGTTCCATAGTTCAATTATTGTGTAGTAATGTTAAGTGTAAAATGTAAGTAACAATCTGGGCAATGGTTGAAGGTTTTTAATTTTTAATTCGCAAAACGAAGATTATTTCGATAATAAAAATGTTATCAACAATAGAAACAAGAAAAATAATTTTACTTTTAATATATTGCTAATAAAAATAAATTATTAAAACGAACAACAATTAAGTGCCCAATGGTTTCAGATGCATCCAGTTTAAGCCTGTAGATAGCTTTAGATAAAAAATGAATCTATACTTAAGTCAAACCCCAAACAATTTATTAACCTAACAAAAAAGTTGTTAATTATTTAATAACAAAAAAATTGCCATATAATTTTACTGAAAAAATAATTATAATATTAGTCGCCGAGATGAGAGGGAATGCAAATCACGTTTCTAATCAAAATTTATGTCTAATATTTTTGTTAAAAAAGCATTTCAATCTTCCAAAAAATTATATAAATTAATAATATTATAAATTTTGACAATAACAGCCTAGTGACGCATTCATTTTGCTCTTAATTACATATTTGTCTCTTTCTTACGCAGATGATCAAAGATCATTTGGCACATTTCCGAGACAGTTATGTGATGGTTAAAAACAACGTCGTTCAACTTTTCTACGCCAACTGGCGCTGCATAACATCAAGTTAGAATAGTACGACATTAAAGCAGGATCAACAGATTTAACAGCAGTACACGCTGCATTCATGAAACCAGTATAAATCTTTCAAACAACTTCACTACAAAACATCCAAAAAATTAAAAATAAATTAGTTCTAACAAACTTATCTACAAAATATTTTCCAAAATGAACCGGTAGCAAGAACAAGATAAATTAGAAATGAAATTGTCAATAAAGTACCGACTTTAAGATGTTAAGATTGGCAAAAATGTAACAATTAAAAAAACGTAGAAAGCGAGTAACAATTTTCCAAAAAATCTTCCATATTACCGAAATAGTTTTCTAGTTTCTTTTAACAAGTCTTGCTTCGAACGGCGAAGGGGATACAGTAATGCCAATAATTTCTTCCACAACTATTTTCTCATCACATTTCTTAGGTAAAATTGAATATTTATGTAGGATGGATGTTGTGAAGAGAAATATTTCCTGCTTGGCAAGTATTTCACCCAAGCAGGCTCTCTTTCCTAAATTATGTGTGAATTATTCATTAGCGTAATTACTGAAAAAATATTTAAAGTTTCATAAACCACCTAGAGAAAATGGAATAATCAAGTCTCTGTTGACGACCTGCGTTTGATCATCGTTAAGAAATCTTTCAATTTTAAATATTTCAGGATCGACCCAATCTTCTGAGTTCATGTGAGCGCTATAAATATTAGGCATTACCTTGACAGAAATTATTTAAATATAAACAAATCCCAGTTTAATTGATAATTGTCTCACCAACCATGACTCCACTAGGAATCAGAACTCCATCAATAATCGTTTCTTTAGTTGTTAAATGCACAAGAGCCATTGGCACCAAGGTTTTAAACCTCATCGCTTCCAGGATAAATGCTTCGGTAATTGGCAGATTTGGTTTATCTTCTAGGCATGGCAATCTATTTGAACCAACAACTCTATCCAACTCATTTTGGACCCTTTTTTGAACACCTTGATTGTTGGCCATGATGATGATAAACCAGAGAAGAGTTGTAGCAGTTGTTTCAGTGCCAGCTAAAAAAAGATCTCTTATTGTGTTTTTCAATTGATCTTCTTCCATTATATCAATTTTTGAGATGTTTGCTTCTTTTAAATACAAGTTACAAAAATTTTCGACATCACTTTTTAATGCATCGTCAATCACATTTCCAATGTATGAATCCCATCTTTTGCGCAAATTTTTGTAGTTTTTTATGCACTGGTTATAATATGGTAAGTATCGAACAACGGGGAAAAAGTCAATCATAATAGAATTCGTGTCATCGGACAAAAAAGAATGAATAATGTCCAACCCTTCATGAAAATTGGGATCGTCTTTGGACCAGCTCCTCCCGAATATTATGCTGCTAATCACGTTTGAAACCGCTGCAGTTATTTCAAATGACGGATCAAATGCTTCATCCTTTTTATCATCTACTCTCCCAAGTAAGTCTTCAACTTCCGCTTTAATTCTGGCTTCCATAACTCCCTGTCCAAAACCAAAATGTTTCAAAATATTGAGACAAATGCGGTGATGCAGCTTAAAATGGTCATTGTAAGGATGCTCCGCAATTCCTGATAATTTCCACATTGGTGAGTTTGAAAAGATAAATGATTCAGAATTGTAATAAGTATAATATTGTATTTTTAATTATAAACGTCCTAAACTTATCTTCATGTTAAAAATTATAACCTTACTTAATCCATTAAATTAAACCTTACTGCTTACTTAATCCATTAAATTAAAATAAAAATAATTTTTTTTTAATAATTGCTTCAACCTGTTGAAATAAATTGCATGCATCATATATATCTACAAAAAGTGATAAATATATCTCATCTTCTTAATCAGCGATCATCTTCTTAATCATCATCGTTTGAATAAACTAGCTTCCGTCCTGGAATTAAAACTGACTATAATCCTTGATATGCACAATCATCATACTGACATGAAACTTTTAGAACAAATGCTAAATAATCACACTTCCTTCCGCCGAAATAAATTTTACGATGAAATACGTTATTTTTATGATAACTAAAATGAATTTATTCTCCTGTTTGAAATGTTAGTAATATTTTCATGTTCCTAAAAAGTAAATAGAGTATTTCTATCATATAATGATACTTTAATCAACAAACCTGTAAGTTTTTTATTAAAAATGCTGTTCATGTAAAAAGTAGGACGACTTGAAAAACTTAGTGAATGTTTCACTAAAGCTTCTTGTATTGTTTTCTTTTTATTCAGAACAACCACATATCTGGGTTTTTTAAATTATTTTAAAATTATTCATTTCCATCAATTTTATTTTCGTTTATGCACACGAGCGCGGTTTTTTTAAATATTCAACAAAAAAAACAACATTTCAAACCTGTTGCACATGTAAAACGCAATGACGTTTCCGAGAGACCTCGATTTTTCCATAAAAAAACTTGGCATGGAATTGATGTTTTTGTTTGGAAAAACCAAAAGGGAACCGATTATTGGTAATGAAGGAAGGCATGGAGGCGGTTGAGCTCTGTGATTTCCATTCGCATTCAAATATTTATAACTCCGATAAAACTTGAATGCACAAAATGCTAGCAAAAAACTTATTATGTAAACAATCAAAGTTGAAACCATCACCGCCATCCTGCAATGTAAACCGTTAGTTAAAGTGAGTTTATAATTATTACTATCGTATGAAGAGACATTGTAACGCGGGTTCTAATTCTCGTGAGCTGGCAATATGCAAATGGATAAATCAATTTTGTTATTTTTAGTCTATCTCTATGTTATCTTCACCTACAGTGTTATTTTTCATATATATAAATTTTTTGTTTCATTAATTATAACTTTCGCCAATCAAAAATTTCGTTATTAATTAATAGTGGATATTTAACTCATTAAATACCTATTCAAACGAATTTGCCGTCGAGACAAACAAATCAATCAATCTAAACAACATCGAATCGCGAATGAAAACATTTGCATATCAAGCTGAATACAATATGATGGCTTATTGTTTGTTATACGCTGTGTTCGACTGTTTGTGTAGCGTACTCGATCATTATAATAATATATTCGACATAATTTTTTTCTTGTTGGCTCCCAGGTAGCTACTTCTTCCGTACTAGATTTCAAATGTTGTTTATATAATTGGAATTTCTTTGAGCTCAGTTTATTGTAGTCAAAGGCTGGACATCCAATGGCTGATGCCAACAGCGAGCGTCAGTCGTACGCTACCAGCACTACTGATGTGTAAAATCTGAGGACTGTTTTTTCCTTGTTAAACAATGTAAACTAGTGGTTTTGATGTCATGATCAAAAAAGTATATTTTAAAATAATCGTCAAAAATCGCACAATTGTTTTTATCAAGATTTAATTAAAAAATGATGAAATGTGAGCTAATTGAATCATCCCTAGGTACCTAGCTAAACAATATTGCTAGCATTATAAGTCTGATTCATCTAAACCGATACCAAAAAGTTTATGCCCTTTTTTATTTTAATTTTTGATATGAATTCCTGGGGTAGTTAAATATTGTTACAACAGCTGTAGTGTTAAACGATGGTCAAATTGCGCTATATTATTTGTTATCATGATTATTTGTTATCTTTGTTATCTTTGCAATATCTGTAATCTTTTGATTGCAATAATCTACCGTAGGGGCTCTATAAGGTCCTACGGAGAAAGAGATTGAGAGCGAGTTTGGAAGCGAAGTAGTAAATGTGAGTTACATGGATTAGTTTAGTGTTTATTTTACTGTTGGCATTCAAATAAACGTTCAACAATGTTTGAGTTTGAAGCAGTTGCGTTCATCTATCGGAAATATTGAGCCTACGGAAAAACGATAACTTGACGATCGTTGGAAGCTACAACACTGGTGTTGGACATCCAGAGAACATTGAAGCTACAACGTTGGTGTTGGTAGTAATGAGTGTCAAAGATTTACAACAATATTATAAACTATTTTCGTGCTAAAAAAACATCACGTTAACTCTCAGTTAATGCAGATATTATTGCATTAAAATATTTTACGTTTTCTAAAAAATATTCTCAAACTTTTCTTCATCCTTACACAAAATACAAAGTAAAAAATTTATACTAGTCTTCAACAGTTCGAGCATAAAATTATAAATACAATTTTTGTTTGGGGCATATAAATTAAATTGGGAGAATATCAAAAAAATGTGTTTACCTAATGTTTTATCTAACAAATGTACGTACATACATCCACTCAGGCATTAAACGTTTGAATGGCTCATTATTTTGTTGCATTGACAAAACATTGGTGATGGATGTGATAAAGACGTCTGTCCTCGAGCCATAAAATTATATTATAATAAATAAAACTAACAAATAATAATAATAATAAGAGAAATAATGTTAAAAGTAGACGGTACAATTAATTATTACGAAATAATAATAATTGTCTAATATACTTCTGTTGTTGTTGTTGTTGTTATTATTAAAATGCATATATATATATATATATATATATATATATATATATATATATATTCTATAAATTCTACCGAATGTTTGGCGTTAATATGTTTGTAGTTCGTTTTTTCGATTTTTCTAAATTATGGTCTATTACCAACATATATATATATATATATATATATATATATATATATATATATATATATATATATATATATATATATATATTAATTTATATACTCTATATTTACATACTAATGTGTTATTTTTTAATTTACGTTTTTAACGGTATCATAGAAACTAAAAAGTTTGCCCAGGGTGAATTTAAAAGTTATTATTAATATATTGTTCTTCGGCATATAATGTCGATTCTTTTATTTAGCTTCAACATTCTCTACCATATAATGTTGTTCTCTATTCTTCACCTGTTTATCAATGTTAGTTTTTATATAATAAAATGTTGTCCAACTTGTTAAATTGTTCATAATTGTTTTAATTTATATCGAGATGTTCATCAATATATTTGCAACGAGAACTAACTCGCTTTGATTTATTATTATTGCCGCTAGTCTTCCATTGTTGTTATTTAGACGATGCGAAGGGGTGTTGTATGATTGTTACAGTAGCATAATTTATACCGGTGACTTACGTGTGTTGAATTATTATGAAAGATAACTATAACTTAAATTATTTTTAAATTGCAAAAAGTTACATACGAAACGACTCACTCATTTTGATATTATCTTTTTTTATAAAGCAAGTAATCCTTATTTAAAATAAGCAATTTTAATCAAGCAATTAAATGTAAAAATAGGGTAGTAATGCATTTAATTGTATGTATTTCTTTTTGACTGTACGTGTTCCCCGTGTGTTTTGAATGTGCCTAATAGCGTTGTACCTCATTCTATGTATACGGTTTCAAAATCACCTGGTTCGAATAGACTCGAGATTTTGATTTGTGGCTTGTCGAATTTTTTAGTAAACCCCATTAAAACTCAGATTATTTTCATCTTCTCATCGGTTTTCCAATTTCCTTAAAATTGATTTTGAATTACTATTTTTCACATCATGTCGGTTTTCCATTTTTTTTATTTGATTAAAATTAATTTTAAACTAATATTTTCACATGCCTAAGAAATAAATCTTTTTGAATAATTTTTAAATTGTTATTTTTCACTTAGTTCATGAATAAATTTTTTAAAATCATTAATTTTCTTGTCTGGTTTCTTGGTAATAAGAATTTGATTTACTTTAAAATATCCTTCTCAGTCACTAATATAACAAAATTTAGATTCGGATATACGGTGTTGGTGTTTTAATTTTATTGTTGCCTAAACGACTTTTTTTCTATAGATTTGATTATGTAAAAAAACTTGAAATTCTATTCGTTGAAATTGCTCCCGAGCAACTGCTCAGGCTCATCTTTCCCTCTATTAGTCATTTAGACAGTGTCGCCAATGAATTGTATATCCATATGTTTTCTGACAACAAAATTTTTTATAAGTTGTCAATTTTTCAAATTATGGATGACATAGCAACTATAATTTATATTTTTTCTCTTGCTTTAATGAATTCACTGTCGCATATTGTTTTGGCAAGTAAGAGATGGTCACATTTAATACTCACCTGAGCCCTTGCTAGCGATCCTCAATTCTATTTAAACCATGAAATTTTAACACATGTACATTGCTGTTTGAAAATTTTACAGCTTGCTTTAAAGTAAGTTTTGATGTTTTCTCCATACGGTTTAGATTGTATAAACTTTAGATTTAATAGCAAATATTTTATTAGTTTATGAAAATTTGGTCATCAATATAAGCGTAAAAATACCATAAATTTTTTTGCAAAGATTGTATAATTTAATTAATTCATTTCAATATTCACTATCATAAACCGACAGATATCTTGAACGTTCACCACTGAAAATGAAGCAAGTTATCGCTATCTTTCTGGGCATGTTGGGCACGATTCTTCTGGTCGACGGGGCTGAGGTACCTATTGCCAAGTCACAAACCTGGACCTGGTCCCATGAAATTCCTGACGGGGGAATGTCAGTCAGGGTAAACATTGACATTCAAAAAATTAGCAAAGTTTTATCAATTATTTCGTTGTTAGAAAATTACCAAATAATTATACTAAAACTAAAAATTTCTATAGAAGAAAACGTGTAGATGATAGCCAACAACACGAACATGTCGAAACTGCCTTTCGAATCTTTTTATATTTTTGAATAGGCGACCATTCGCAGTGGAGGTAGTGCTACAGTCTTCGTTTCCTACTCTGGGCCAGCAACTGTTGACGACTTTGACGAGTTGTACTTCTTAGTTGAGGGCCTTCAAACTGCCATGTACTTTCCCAAGAAATCTGACACTGTAAATGTTTTGGTGAGGGCAAATGACGATTCCGATGTTTTAATGGAAGCCTATTGGAAAGCTGGAGGTATGTTTAAATTGAATTGCAATTTTACATTAATTTTCATTATAATTTTTTTTAATTTATTGATGTTTAAATTATAATTCTCAATAGAAAAAATATATGAATAATTTACTACATTTTTTTTGACAAGTAATGCTGGGCTTTCCCGTTCAAACACACTTAAATTTTCTGTTTATTTTTTTTTATGTTTCATTGATAACTTTGAATAGAATTGATTGACTGTGATTTCAACTTCTGTGCCGAAAATGAGAAGTGTTGGCCGTTCTTTGGTGCTGGCCTCGTTTGCTCTGCTGAATAATTTTTGGTTCGAAAGAAAGAAATTTGACTAATTTAATTGGATTTCATTAAAAATTAAAATATTTGGGAAATATAAGAATTCATTAATTACAGAATTACAATTAAAATTGTGACAACTTTTATGAAAAAAGTTATTTTTCAAATAAAATTTTTAAATATTACTTGATTTTTATTTTTTTTTAAACAAAATATAAAATTAACGTTTAAATATTTGGCTTCAGACGTTTATTTCGTACCATTTAAAAATTTTCACATGGTGACATTAAAAATTTTAAGTAGGAGTAATAATTTTAGAGTAGTTCAACAACAGTAGTTCCTCGTTATGGATTTTATTTTTGATATTTATGTCAGTATGTGTGAGCAATAAAGACAATATACGTATGCCTGTGGTGATCTGCTGACGAACAATCTAATGTTTGTAATTTATATTAGTGTTTCATTTATCTTTTGCTTTTTACGTACACATAATTTTTCCTGTTTAGTTTTTGGTATTGTTTTCGTTTTGTTTTGTTTTTTCTGTATATTGTTTGGCAAGGGGCTTTGCCCGAGATTATAATAATAATAATAATGAGAACACCTTTTTATTTTCATCGTAAAAACGTACATGAAATGTCAATGATAATCAAAATTAAAATATATATGTCAGTGGCGTCACTAGGGTTGGTGTCACCCGGTGCGGTAACTCATGGTGTCACCCCTCTCATGACACCCCATAGACATACAGCATTCTTAGCAAAATTTATAAACACGAACAAGTTAAATGTGCTCGGCCGCGACGCTTAATAATTCGGACGTCGAATTTGAATGGTATAAATGTCGAATACAAAAGTGATTTGAACGAAAAAAATTTTATTCATAATACATTTCTGGGCGCTGGGTGGGTTAGGCTGAATTAATGATAAGAATAATTTCATGGAGGGACATAAAAACATATACAGTGATATTTTGGTGTCATCTCCTGTGAGGATGTCACCCGGTGCAATCCGCACCCCCCGCACCCCCCTAG